ACCATATACAATTACAGGCATTTACTTGGCCTTTGCGTAATGGAAGCTGTGAGTCAGTAAATTGCTATACACTCTCCATTGCAGCTAATTACACTAATAATGAAGTAATTATACTGATCTCTTATGACCTAAGGAACATATGTATATGTACGAAAAGGAAAGAGAGAAGGAACAGATTTATATGTATGAAAAGGAAAGAGAGAAGGAACAGATTTATAGGCAAAAACCAACATTTAATCCCTCACTTTACAAAATTGGTAAATTTTAACTCCTCACCTTATAATATGACAGTTTTAGCTCTTTATCCTACAAAATTGGTAAGTTGTAGTCCTTTACCTTACAAAGTTGGTAAGTTTTAACTCCTTATCTTATATTATGATATTTTTAACCCTTTATCAATACGAATTAAAGAAAATAGTCATCACCTAACATCAGGTTATAACGTTCTGTTAGGTTTGTTAGTTGACTGTTAATATCCGTTAGCATTCCGTTATAAAAAATATAAAATTTAAATTCAATTTTATTTGTTAGTTTCATTAACGAAATGTTAACGGATGCTGACAGTCAGCTTATAGAATTGATAGTTAGCTAATAGAACTAATAAAACATTATAATCTGATATTAAATAAGGGTTATTTTCTTCAATTCGTACAAATAAGGGGCAAAAAGTGTCATAATATAAGGTGAGGGGCAAAAATCTATCAATTTTGTAAGATGAGTAGTTAAAACCTATCAACTTTGTAAAGTGAGGAGTTAAAACCTACCAATTTTATAAGGTAAAGAACTAAAAATGTCATATTATAAGGTTGGCAACTTAAAGTTGGTTTTAGCCTAGATTTATATACATGAAAAGGAAAAAGAAAAGGAATATATGCATTCCTAGTAATCTCATAAAGAGAGAAGAATACTAACAACCTGTTGGTCTGAGTGGAAGGAACTCGATTCCTCATAAGGGCCTGTTTGATATAGCGGTTTTGGGGTAGCGGTTAACGATTTTACCTAAACCGCTAAATATAGGTGTTTGACAAATTTATATATTTCGAAACCGCTACAAATAAAGTATTTGGTAAAATTTTTATTTAGCAGTTTGAGACTAGCGAATAGCGGTTAAGGTCCAAATCGCTAGCAGATTAAAATTTTTTAATTTTATTAACAAATTTATCCATTTTAATTTTTTAATTTGTGGTCACATTTTTTAATTAATAAGTATCTAATAAATTTTAATTTTGTTTTTTTACCTTTAATAACATTAAGTGATTATAATATTTTTTTGTACATTAATTTATAATTAAAAAAATATATTATCTTAAAAAACAAAATTTATTAATTAGATAAAATGATTGATTTTTTATTTAAAAATAATATAATTTTTTATTTTTTAAAAATAAAAATGAGGATGTAATTACATTATTATAATTAA